CCCGCCGGCCGAAATAAATAGAATCCACCTTGAGGTAATGCTTTCCTGCCTCTGCGCCGTGCCGTGGGCCCGCGGGCCTGTCCTAGACCCCGGCTGGCCGCACTCAACATTTTACGCCCATTCCGGCGAGCGTCATCGCGGCCAGGAAGAGGAAGCACTAAGGGAAGAGTCCGGAGATCGCTCTGTCTCTGTCGCGCTGCGGGCGGCTGCTGCAGGGGCCCGCGGGAGTCAGTGCGAGAGAGACGTCACAGCGAAGTGGCTCCTCGGAACGGCTCGGCCGGACTGTCTGGGGCCGATACGCAGTGCGTGGCGCTGTTGGATTGCGGGGCTGGGCCGAGCATGGCCAAGCCATGGCCAAGTGGGACCCAGAGGGCCAAAGCGGGACCATGCAGAGGACCGGGGAAGGACCAAACAAGACGGAGCGGGACCTGGGGCCGGGCCGGGCCGGGCCGGGCCAGGCGAGCCGGCCTCGCTTTTCAATATCCTAAACACAGAGGAAAGGGATTCGGGCATCGCGGCCCATCGCGGCGTCCTTCCTCCGGGCCTCGGCCTCCGGGCCCCGGCGTCCGGGCCTCGGCCTCGCTACCCCTTCAATCCTCTTTCGTAATTTATGGCGCGGCCGTTATCTCTGGCCGGACACGGCCGAGCTTTGCGTCTTAGAAAATAAGTTGGGGAGGGGAATGGGGGGGGGGTGACAACACCGCGACAGCGGGGGCATAAAAGAAGTGGGGCAGGAGCGAAACAAAGCGGAAGGGATAAGGATGCAAAAGTGTTAAAGGGACTCAAGGACGCGCCGGAATGGCTGCGGAAAAACTGATAGATAAGAGACAAAGGCAAGGCGCGGAACGGAGGAACGCGGAGGGACGCGCGACGCAGAAGGTGCGGGACAAAGGCGCCAACCGCCGAGGAGGGCGAGGAGGCCGTGGAGGACGAGAAGACGGACACGGGGATGGTGACGAGGACGGACGGTCACGGGGATGGTGACGAAGACGAGGACGGCACGAGGACGAACATGGGGATGGTGACGAAGACGAACACCATAGGAAGGACACGGGGATGGTGACGAGGACGGACACGAGGACGGCACGAGGACGGCACGAGGACGGCACGAGGACGGCACGAGGACAGCACGAGGACAGCCGGCTGACAAGGCCGATGAAAGGAGGCCGTGAATGGCCCGGACACGCCCGCCCCGCTGCGGCCCCGCCCCCAATGGCAGCCGGACGCGGCACGGCACGGCGCGGCGCGGCACGCCCTGAGGGATGGCTCACGGCTTGCACGCCACATCGCGCATGGCGTGAATTTGAAACAGAGCTGAGCTGCGAGCCAGGCGCATTGGCACAGCCTCCCCCGGGGGATGGCCATGTCCGTCCATGGCCTGGTGCCTGGCCCCGGCCATGGGAGCCCAGGCAAGCCCAGGCAAGCCCAGGGCGGATGGCCGAGGCTGCCGACTGCCGGGCGGGCGAGTGGCGCCACCGGGGGCGGCGGGGGTCCGCGCGGCGGCGGGGGCTGCGGGGGCGCCGCGCTGGCCAGGCCCCCCCGCGGGGCGTGCGGCGCTGCTGCGGACCAAGGACTGCCGGCCAAAACGTCGCCACGTCTTAGCGAGCCCCACGAGGGGCAGCGCCGGGCAGCGCCAGCGAGCGCACCACGGCGTACCACGCAGTACGGCAGTGCGCAGAGCTGCCACACAGCTCGTCGCTCTGTCCCTCTCTCACCCATAGGAGACGCCCCATGAGTGCGAGAGGGACAGAGCGACAAAACCGACTCTCGGCTGGGTTTCGCTTTTGCGTGGCCAGGCTGTTATGAAAACAAACCGAGGGTCTGACTACCGCCAGAACGGCGCCTCGAACGGCGCCCTACCGCTCGCGGCCGCGACGCCATGACACCTCGTTCGCCACCCCCTAAAAAAAGCAGCAAAAAACAATTAAATGGGATTGTGGTGGCAAAGAAGACGCCAGGTCCGATTTCAGTTAAGGAAAGACGAAGAGAAAAGCAACAGCAGCAACGTTTTCTTTGTATTTTTTAATCGTGAAAACAAAAAGGTGGAAGGCAGTGAGTGAGGCCGAGTGACTGGGACCTCGGCACCCGGGCCGGGCGCGCCCTCGCCAGCCCTCGGCCCCAGACTGCCGCCTTTACTTATTCTTTTCCCGATGATATTGGCATCAGTCCCCGTCGCCCCCGTCGCCCCCGAGATGCAAATTAGCTCGCGGCCCACTGACTCATTGCGGCCGAGCCACGCCGTGATTCGGTTTGGCCGCTCCTGCTCCTCGCCCTGCAGGGCCTGCCCCGGTCTGCCCCGGTCTGCCCGCCGTGCTTGTGTACCTTCGAGGAGCTGATTGGTTTCCACAGAACAAACTCTCCGGCCGGGGAAAAAGCGGCAGGGGGAGGGGGAGGCGACGGGGAGGTGACGGGGAGGTGACGGGGACGGGACGGGGCTCCTGGAGAAAGTTTCCTCTCGGTGAAGTGCGCGGGGCGCGGGGCGCTGGTAGGGAACAGCGGGCCCTGGTGCTAGAGCCCGGGGTTCTGGCCACTGCATGAAAAATACAGCAGCATGGAGCATGCATCGCCCGCCCCTCCCGGCGCCACGCCACGCCACGCCGCGCCACGCCATGGCGACCTGGACCGGGACGGGTTTTAACGCCCCGACGTGTGTGTCGCCCGCCCTGCGCCACTGGCGCTCCGTCCGCCCCGCCCCGCACAGCGCAGCGCAGCGCCGAGAAAAAGGAAGCGTTTCCTTTAGTTTTGATTTGTTTTCTTGCTGTGTCCGCCCTTTTTGCCAGTGGCTCTTCGCTTCTTTCCCTGCTTTTGTTTGCCGGGCCGCGGGTATGTGCGCGCACCCTTTGGACCCTTTGGGGAGGAGGTGCCGATTTCGATGCAGCGTTCTGTTTATTGCTCCGCGCCAAAATGTATATATTCCCTGGGAAAATACGCAACCGGGAAATTCACAAAAGAAGCGAGTCATTGTTTTCGCGGCGCCCATCGACATCGATAAATACTTTCAGAATATCTGCGACGCGGAAAAAAGTAAAGATAAAAGAATAACGAACGAAAAAAAAAAGTTAATTAAAGTGAATGCGCGGGCGGCGGGCTTTCCCTGCCTGGCTTCTTTTGCAGTGCTGCGCTCCGATTGTTCCAGGGCGAGCCAGGGCCTAATTAAAAGCAATAGACAGTCGTCGTTTGTTGACCCCCGGCACGCACCAGCCAGCCAGCCCCAGCCAGGCGGGCAGCCCGAGCAGGCAGCACGGCCGCACCGCAGGGGCGCCAGGGACGCCAAATCAGCGCAGGAAGCGTCTCGTCTTCTCGTTAATGGCTGCGGAACGAATCGCACGAATCAGGACTGTCGAGGCGGACCAGCGGGGCCGGCAGTCAGCAGACTGATTCCGAAAGTCGTTTTCGTCGCCCTGTCTCTCTCGCACTCGTGGCGCGTGCCGTATAGACGCGTGAGAGGCAGAGCGACGAAAACGACTCTCGGAATCAGTCTGCAGATGAGACTCGGATCGGCCGGAACGCGCTTCACTCCGCCATTGTTACAGTGTACGTCGTCACCGACCGCACGTCCTTTGCGTACTTTGTGTGCATGCTGGCGATGCTGGCGGCCGCAATGCCGCCTTGCTTTTTCACCTTGGCGCTGGTGGCAGCCCTCCCCGCCTCCACGCCCCCTGTCACCCCAATGAGCCCCAAGCCAAGTCCGCCCCGCCCCCGCCCCCTTTGGGACCCCTGCCACAACACAGCGCTGCGTGTTGCCAAATACGTGAGTTAAAACCACACCGCGAGCGAGTGTGCGTGCGCGCGCCGCCGCTGCGTCTGTGTGAGTGCGGGCGCGTCGGGCGCGTCGGGACGACCGCAGATCGTCTTTTGTCTGGCGCCCGCTCATTATTCACCACCCCACTGTGTCGCGTCGTCTTTCTCGCTCTCGGCCCCCTCTCCCTCTTCCTCTCTCTCTCTCGCTCGCACCGCAGGGTGTTCGTTTACACCTGATGTGTGTGCGCGCGGTGCGCGGTGCGCCCTTGTTGGGGTGTAACGCGATGCAGGGCGGAGGCATGGCGGAGGGCGGCCTCTTTGGTTGCGTCGCGTCGTCGTCGCGGGGCGCGAACCGGAGCGCCCGCCAACTCGGCGATAGGCTGCCCGCGGCGCGCGGATGTTGAGCGCGGTGCCTACCTCGCCGATGGCAGGCGTTTTCCCTCGCGTCTCCCCTCACCGCCGCCACGGCCGCCACCGCCTCGGCGCGCACGACCGCTCTCCATCTCCGTTCCGGGCCGGGACGCCGGAGCCCTCCGGGCCGCGCATCGCCCGCCGCCTTTTATTTTCGATTCTAACGCCGTCGTGGTTTTATGGGAAAAAGGACGGCTTTGATCTTCGCTCCGGGGAAATGGGAAACGGGACGCCGCCGCGTCGTCTGGCGGCAAAACAACGGCGTTGATGAGGGGGGACGGCAGGGCACGGCACGGCCGCGAGTGGGATCGGCGGCGGCGGCGCCCGGGTTCGAATACCCGCAGGTGCGTCTGCGCTTTTATTGGATTTTGTGCGCGTGGGTGTCTTAGTTTTCGGCCTGCGCTGGGGGACTGAATACGCCGCCAGTTTTTGGTGACTTGCCGCCCAGATCCAGATAGCACCGCGTCCAGTCCCGAGCCAGAGGCAGTCAGAGGCGGCCAGCGGCGCGCGGAGGGACGGAACCCCGTCTGCATCATTCAGGGCTTCCCCTCGCCCGGCCGGACCGGGCCGGGCCGGGTGGCCTGGCCGGCCCGGCCTGCACTACAAACCCAACACCCACCCAACCCGAAGCCCGACGCACGTCTTTCTAGACGCGTTTTCTCCACTAGCCAATTTCTTTCTAAAAAATTTAGTTTGTATTGCAGAATTTTTTAACTCTGGGAAACACCACAACCCAATCTATGTTTAGGAAAACTTACGTTTTCGAAATTTTTTTGAATTATTTTGAGAGTATGGAGTTGCAACAATTTGAGAACCGCTGGTCAAAGGTATTCCATCAGAATCACACATTTAAGAGATTGCAGTCAGATTGTGTTTATTTACATGAAAGATGTACAGAACAGAATAAATTAACAATAATTATTGTACATTAAAAAAATGAAATTTCTTTCTTAAAAAAACAACAACAATTAATTATCTAAGTAGCTGGATCCGGTGCCGGTGGATTAGGCACGCCTTGAGCCTTAATAGATAAATACATTTTTCCCTTAATTGTCTGCCTAACAGGGTTGATTTTCTTAAGGATTTGAGTCATTATATTAACGAGTTGCTCGGAGCTGAGCCCAGTCTTCTTGCTCTTGAACTTCTGCAGGAGTTCGGTGGTCGTCATCGGCTTCCGCATGAGGTACCGTCTGACGGCGTCCTCGGTGATGCCCGCCTCACTGAAAACAAAAACAACAAAGCTTAGTCGTTGGTGCCAAACGGCGAACCTTCCCAGTACAGTATTTGTAAGAAAGTCTTACCTAGCGCCAGCGAGGTAAGGTGCTGCAGACGCAGACGCGAAGTTGTCCAGTTTGGCCTTCTTGGCGGCCACAGCATTCAGCGCGTCGGTAGTGGCCTTCCTCTTGCCGTCGGCCTGCAGAGCCGGACTGGCGGAGCGTGAACTGTTGCCACTAAAAATACAACAGAAAACACAGTAATGATTAAGTTACTGGTTAAATTATTTTTCTCACACATTCTTTTTATTTCCCGCTTTTTTGTTTGCTTTCTTGAACCATCAATGTTTTACCTATTTGAATCCTTGGAGTCTTTCTTATCTTTCTTCTTCGATTCAGTGTCAGAAGCATCACTACCATCACTAGCTGAGTCTGCAATTGTATATTTATTGTATTAATAGACAAGACAAAATAGGGAAAATGTAAAAATAAAGCTGCAACTTTGACTCACCATTTCCTTTGTCCTTTTTATCATTTCCGTTGGACGAATTCTTATTAGATGGAGAAGCAGGGGCATCTGATTCACGCTTCTAAAATCAGGAAACACATTAGCAGAACACCAATGAGAGACTTAAAATGAAAAACAAAAGGTTTGTACCTTCTTCTTTTTCTTCTTGACTTTCTCATTGTCCCCAGAAGACTTTTTAGCATCTTTTTCATCCTTTTTGCCTTCTTCTCCCTCTTTCTTCTCATCAGCATCACTGTTCTCTTCACCTTCTTTCTTCTTGTCCTCATCTTCATCAGAATCTTCGTCTGAAGTAAGAAGTTTTCTCAAGGCATCTTCCTCAGCAACACCCTTCATTTCATCCTTAGCCTTTTCATCATGGTCTGAAACACTAACAAAATAGATACTTTACAGTCTGAAATCATCAACAACTAACATTAAACTTTGTGAAATGCCTACCTAACAGATGAATCAGAAATATAATCTAGCTCTCGCCCTTCTTCATCACCATCATCACTCTCTTCAAAAGCCTCATCATCAGAATCTTTCTTTTTCTTCTTTTTCTTGGCATCAGCCTCTGTAATTTTACAAAAGTACATCATGTGAATGAAGAACAAACAGAGAACAAACTAAATTTTGAAGGAAGTCAAGAATTACCCTTCTTGCCCTTCTTCTTTTTCTGAGCTTTTTCTTCCTTATCCTCTTCTTTCTCATCGTTTTCATCTGAATCAGAATCATCTTCTGAGTCCATCCACTCTTCCATGTCAGATATTTTCAGTTCTGAAAATAAATTTGACATTAATGGGAGCCACAAGTAACCACACAAAAGAAAAGTATTAACACAGAAATTTGAGATTATGAGAAATGTTTTGAGGTACATGTTCCTTATAAGTAGACCAAACCTTTTGACTTTTTGCCACCGCCTGCCTTTCGCTTCCCTTTGGTTTCATCTGGGTCATCAAGTTCTATATCCTCTTCAGGCCGAAGCCTTTTGCGCATCATGAGGGAGAAGAAATTCTGTTGCTTGTTACGTCTGTAAATTATTACAGTTTTGACAAAAGGGCAGATAACCAATCTCAGAAGTCACTTTTGAAAATTGATGTGTTCATCATACCTGCCAAACTCTTCCTCTGCCTCCTCAGCTGACAGAGCTTTATACCTTTGAATAGGTTGAAAGTTGTACCATTCTTGCAAGGGGTAGGCTTCAATGACACCATCCTCTGCCTTCATAAACACATAATATCCAGCATTTTCTGATACACCACCTTCACGGATACCTTTAAACCTGTAACACAAATGCTCTTCATTGCCTGACTGCCCATTACAATTACCTGACTGGATTCAAACAAAAATTTTAGCTGCATACTTTTTACCACTCTTGCCACTTCCTACTTTCAAAATCCAAGGCTGATCATCTGGTTTGTACTTCCTTGCAACAATTCCAAACTTTTTACGGCGTGCTTCTTCACGTGCCTCTCGACCAAACTCACTACCTGCTCCAAATCTGGACACAAGGAAAAGGGATGCAAGTCAGAAATGTTTCTTGTACAAGTAACAACCAAATTTAAATGGTGAATTTGGGCACAAATCTTACTTGGGCATGTCTTCATCAAATCCCTTAAATTCTTTAGAATTGTTTTCTCTCTCCATCCTGACTTGTTTCCACTTGGTGAAGTCAACATTTAAAGTTGAATTAAACCGCATCATGTGAAATTTCTTTTTACTATTCCTAGAATAAATATTGAAAATAGAGTTTGATTTCAATTATTCACAACAGCAATAAGGCCATCAACAAATTAACACCCAGATGGAATAACTTACTTAGGTACTTTGATTGAAAATTCCTGAACAGCGGGAGGCGCTGTAGAAGACCCTGGAAGAGCAGTGCCTGGTCCCATCGCTGCTGTTGTTCCAAGCGATGGTGTCATCATTTTCTAAAATTACCACACACAACCATTACATCCAAAACAATGTTTTACCACAAAATAATACCAAAGTTGTGCCAAAGAAAAACTTTAAAAAATATTAGTTTGACAGATGTTACAGATGACCAACTTTCCAAATTTACTAAAAAATGGAGTTGACGTTCACGATTAATGCTATTACATCATATATCAAATCTCTGAAAAACCATAGTCGAACTTTCACTGCCGTTAAAGCATGACTGTTTATTCTTGACACATATTTGGAAACAAGACACCAGACAACATAACCTATTTAAAGAAACAGGATAGGACCAGTATGTTTTCGGGACATGTACCTTCACGTCCTTGGGTTGAACTTGAACAGCCATGGTGATATTGATGTAAAGACCTCTTAGGATAATCGTCTTCTGCTTCAAAATCAGAAGGCAAATTTAGGCATTTCTTTGCTAAACCATCATAAATGTCAAGTCAAGATCTGTCCGGTGTAGTTCACTAATCGCACGATGTCAAAGGGGTGCAAATAACGCACAGACCAACTTTTGTTGTGCCAACTCATTTTGTAATAATCTGTAATTTTCAATCCTAAAAAATATCGTAAATCTTGACATTATTGCCAAGTTTTAATTTTAAAAGTAAATTTGGTTAAAACCTGACTGCATGACATCCCTAAAACGGACATCTCGTAACAAGAATTAGCTTACTCATATTTTGTTGCAGTTGGTCACCATGGCCGTGACCTTTGCCGACGTCCCCCTCCCCCGCACCCCTCCCCCGTCGTCTCCACCTCGTGGTGTAGCCGGTATCACCCTTAACCCGTCGCCCGCCCTTGGAGTTAGGACCAAAAATTGAGTGAAAAATGTCGTGGTTGTTCGGAATCAAACCTAAACCGCCTCAGGGCGACGCGAACTTCCCTCCGCCTCCTCCTCCAGGAACGTCAGGCGGCCAAAATGCCGATGGAGGGCAAAACCAATCGGCGAAAAGTTCTCAAATGGAGGCGTACAGGTTCGATTCGTCTGCCCTGGAAAGGGCAGCCCAAGCAGCGAAAGAGCTTGAGAAGTCGAGTAAGTTGTTTGGCGTTTCCTATGGCTTCGCTCTAGACATTGCTTACTCTATTTTGAAAAATCAGGGCCAATCATGCTTTAGCAAGACCGTTTTAGTGTAGTGACCGAAGGTTAGGTTGCCCTAGGGCAGGTATTTCAAGGTGATATGTTCTTAAACTGAAAACAAACATTTCACTCCTGAGTTAAAATTTTGTTCAAACAACGTGATTTTCCAAAATTTCATGTTGTAACAACATTTTTTTTGTCATTTCATGCTGTTGGTGGGGTCATGCATACTCTCTTCCATTTTGTACTTGCATATTTCTCTCAGCCTGATTATTTTACTCACTTGTTATCTACACATTTGTTGTACATATTTTTAGGTTTAATTTTCCTCAACATTATTTTGCTTTGCCCCACTCAGTCCTTCAAGTATTTTTGTATGATGCAACATGACTTGCTATATGCACACACCATTATAGTTAATTTTGAATTAAAAGTTGCTGACAGTGATGTTTTTGATACATGTAAATTTTGCATGAAACCTCTCACTGTTTAAAAATGTTTTTTATTGTTTTTATTTTTTTTCTCACTTTTCACTTGGTTTTTTTTACAGGACATTCAGGCGAAGCTCTGGAACTATCTAAACTTCAAGAGAAAACCAAACAGTCAGAATATGCCATGAAAGTAAAAGAATATGAAGCTCATATTGAGCAAAGTAAAATAGAACAGAAAAGGGTTGAAGGAGATGAGAGGCGGAAAACAATTCAAGAAGAAACCAAGCAACATCAGCAAAGAGAGCAGTATCACGATCAACTGGCAAGAAAAAGGTATGATTGAAATAAACCCATATTTCAGTGACACAAATTTTTGGGTTCCTTCTTCAATTACCTCAATAAGTGACATTGTTTTCTTTTAACTTTCAAGGTATGATGATCAACTCCATCAACAAACTCAAATAAATGAACAGAATCTGAGAAGACAAGAAGAATCTGTTGCCAAGCAAGAAGCAATGAGAAAAGGTAAAGCACATAACAAATCCTCCAAAATGCATTTGACTCTCACAGACAAATACTTAATTAATTTCTTTGAACACAGCCACCATTGAAAAGGAATTAGAAATGCGACATCAGCTAGAAATGAAAAAATTGGAGGCAGAAATGCGAGCAAAGGCTAAAGTTGACCGAGAAAATCAAGACCTGACCCTTGAACAAATTCGTGTGAAAGCAGCTGAAAAACGGACAACAGTTTTAGAATCTATCAAGTAAGGGAATCTTAGTGTTGTACTTTGTCATCTCACTCATGACTGGCTGAGAACTGATTGAGGTTGTCTGCTTTTTCAGGACTGCTGGGTCGGTTCTAGGGTCTGGCGCCCAGGCATTGTTGACTGATTGGGACAAAGTTCTGGCAGCAGCTGGGGGCCTTTCTCTTCTAGCATTAGGTGTATATACTGCTAAGGGTTCAACATCTGTTGCTGCCCGTTATATTGAGGCAAGACTTGGTACGTTTGCTCTTCTTCTCAGATTGTGAAGATTGCCCATAATTTCCTGTGAGCTGCATTATAATGAGCATGATTCTTTTCCAGGTAAACCATCTCTTGTAAGAGACACATCACGCATTACTGCTTTAGATGCTTTGCAGCACCCTGTGCAAACTGTCAAAAAACTAAAGAATAGAGAGAGTGATGCTTTGGAGGGTGTAGTTTTAGAACCCCGTCTTGAAGAACGTTTAAGGTAATTATAAACCGGATTTAATGTCTTAAAAACAGGTTCAAATTTTCTGTTACAAAGCAGTTTTTATTTGCAGGGATATTGCAATAGCCACCAAGAATACTAAACAAAACAGGGGTATGTACCGGAACATTCTTATGTATGGACCTCCAGGAACAGGAAAGACCATGTTTGCTAAAGTAACTATCAATTAAATTCCTCAATTGTCCTTATCAATTTCAAATGATTTGCTCCTAAAGTTTGTGTAAATTTTACAGAAACTTGCTATGCATTCTGGTATGGACTTTGCCATAGTTACTGGAGGTGATGTGGCTCCCATGGGCAGAGATGGTGTTACAGCCATTCACAAGGTGTTTGATTGGGCTCAGACCTCCAGAAAAGGTCTCCTATTGTTCATTGATGAAGCAGATGCATTCCTTCGGAAGCGCAGCAGTGAAACCATTAGTGAAGATCTACGAGCAGCCCTTAATGCTTTCTTGTACAGAACTGGAGAACAAAGTGACAAGTATGTTGTACTTTTTCTGCAGTCAAATTTCAGTGTAATTCTACTTAATCATTTTTTTTTTTAAATTGTTCTTTTCTTTTACTTTTAACTTAGGCTTATGTTGGTGCTGGCATCAAACACTCCAGAGCAATTTGATTGGGCTGTGAATGATCGTTTGGATGAAATGGTCGAGTTTGATCTGCCTGGACTTGAGGAGCGGGAACGTCTTATGAGATTGTACTTCGAGAAATTTGTTCTTTCTCCTGCATTAGAAGGCCAGAAGTATGTGCACGTAAATTTGCAATTTGGAAACTTCTCTCTTATATTAGTTCTTGTGTACTAACAGGTCATATCATTTTTTTTCCTCTTTTAGGAGATTGAAAGTGGCACAGTTTGACTACAGTGCTCTCTGTTCTCGAATGGCCACTCTTACTGAGGGATTGTCTGGTCGTGAGATCTCCAAGTTGGGTGTGGCTTGGCAAGCCGCTGCTTATGCTTCTGAAGACGGTGTTCTCACTGAGCAGATGGTGCTTGACCGCTGCCAAGATGCTATTCGTCAACATAGGCAGAAGGTGGAATGGCAGTCAGACCAGGAACGTCAAGAATCCAAATCTATTTTATCATCATCCCCTTCATATCACTCAGAGAAAGATTCTCACTATGTAAATCTTGTCAATGCTAGTGCTGAGACTGCATCTCCAAAGATAACAATCACTGAGATTGAAGACACCCCAAACCAGGATAAAACAAGTGAAAAGAAGAAGAAGCGGAGCAAGGAGTAAAGTTAAAATTAAAATGAAATGTAAGACTTCATTATTCTTTTATTTTATCTACTCCTAATTTTTCTCTTATCTCTTAGTAGTACCTGTCAATAATATTCTATTCAATTTTTTTTCCAGGTCCTAGCATTGTACAAAGTTCAGTAGCTGAAACCTGATGCATTAAGGTTATAGCAGTGATTCAAGATTGACCTCTCTTCTCCTGGCATACTGTTGTTCCTACCAATCTGTGGCATGGCTTTCAGCCTGTAGGAAGTGAGGGTGTGTGTGGCGTCATCTTCACACTAGATATCACATTCCGCGATGTAGGCACAACTTCTCTTCTTCAGGCCCTTCTTTTTCTGTATCAGCTTTGTCCTGTAGTCCACTACGGCAAAAGATGTCTGAAGTTTTATCCGCTATTTGCTAATTTGTGAACCTAGTCGTATCTTTTTTTTTTTTCGTGAATCCTGTTAAAACATTTGTTCATAGCACAATGTGTGTGTCATTTATCATGTATCACACGGCGCCTGATCTCGATCCTCGATCTGCATATTTTCATGTACCAGTTGGCAATGCATGGGTTATATTGGCTTCATCCCATGTCTGGGAATCTTCTTGTTCAATCTGTGCAAATATGTAATGCAATCCACTTTCCATGAAACAGTGGTTGTGTTTATTTAAAAAAATAGAAAACAATTGTACAAGTGTATGTGTAAAATTATGATGCACTCATGAATGGCGAGCACACTATTTTTTCTCCCATATGTTTGTACTGTGTATTTTGTTATGTAGTGGTTAATTGTTATAACATGGTATCAGGGTAACTTTTTCTTGTTCCCAGTGTCCTGTAATGTAGTGCATTCAGTAAATGTGCTGTCAAATATTAAGGAAATGTTTGGTTGTATTGTATTTAGTATGACTAATTGGCGTGTTTGATTACCGTATTTTTGTGCATATTTTAAACTAGCTTTAAATTGAAAGATTGAACTGAGTTGTCATTATTCCCTCTGGCATTGCCCTCCCCTGTCCCTCTTCTCTATTTTCTGCTGTTGGTTGATGCTGTCTTCAATTAGATTTGAAGCATGTCAGCATTTTAAATGTCATTTCAGGTTGATCCACCATTGTGCTCATTTTTTGTCGGAAGTATTGAGAGTTTATATTATGTTCATTCTATCTGTTGACATCCTTATCCTGTTGTAAAGTTTGAATAAATTTGATGTAAACAAGATTACTCTGTTCTACTTCTCGGCGAAGGCCGCCAAAGTTGTTACCTTGTGTTGGCAAGTGTTGATTGTAGCGGTTGCCGGGTGCCCCCGGGACGCTCGCAACATGGCGGAGAGTAATCACATCTAAAAAGTAACAAAACTGGAAAAAAAAGAAACAGCCAAATTGACAAGTGCAATGCGTCCGCGTTAGCGCCCCAGCCCCTCCCTCATCATGACCACCAGCGGCTTCATCACCACCTACCGCAATGACTTCCTGTGGCCCTTCGTCCGAACTGCCCCCCTCAGGTGACCCCGTACGCACTGGTAGTGCTGGCCCACTGGTAGTAGTGGACCCAAGACCGAACCGCTGACTTGACCTGCTTGGCGTGCGTTGGCGTGGTGCAGGCCGGGATGCCAGGGCGTCCGCTACACCACGGTGCCCTCCCCCGAGCAGGCCCTGGAGCGGGGGCTCTGCCTGGAGGAGTACGAGCGCCTGCTGGAGGCGCGGCGGCGCTGTCAGGCGGAGGCGGAGCATGCCGTGGAGCTGCACGCCGGCCGAGCTGGCCCGCACACGCCGCCGCTCGCCTCGCTGGGCCACGCCGGCAACGCCCCCGCCCCCCACGGCTACTGCCTGCCGCCCGACCTGCAAGTAGCGCGCAACGACCGCGCGCAGGAGAACCTCAAGATGGTGAGGACAGTCCCGGCGAGACTCCCTGCGCAAGGGACCGCCCTCGTGGCCCTTGCGCGCGGAGTATCGCCGCGGTCGGGCACACCGTGCAAGGGGCTCTGGACTGACTGGCCGTGTGTTTGTCACGCCTCTGGCGGCTGTGCAGCTGCAGGAGAAGCACCCCTACCTGTTCAACATGATCCGGTCCTGCCCGCCTGACGACCTGGTGGCCAGAGTGTTCAAGGACAGGTACCGCAGCATCTACCAGGTGGACTACTGCAAGCAAGGTGAGTGCGTCGCGCCTCGCGGACTCCACGCCGTGCAGTGCGTGACCGTCACTGATTTGCGACGCGTGCGCAGGCGAGTACCCCAACAGCGAGTACGACGCGCTGGTGGCCGGCTCGGGGCTGGCGGGCTCCGCTCCCGGGGCGCTGCCCTACTGCCCCTGCAGGTCGGCCAACAGCTCCTCCGACGGCGGCCGCATGGGCGTCGTGTCCCTCGACCGCAACAGGCAGTGTGAGTGGCGCGGTCCGCGGTTCGAATACCAGCAGCCCTTTCACGCTGATGTGACCCATTCACTTTCCCAGTGCAAATGTGCGAGATGGCGGCGGAGGAGACGAAGAGCAGCGACGGCGACATCGAGGTGTGCTTGTGCGGCCTGGTGCCCAAGCGGCCGCAGTTCGCGCGCAAGTGCGCCATCTCCTGCAAGGCCAAGAGCCGCAGCCGGCCGCGCGAGGGTACGGGCCGCCGCCGGGCGTGAGGGTGAGGCTGTCCCGCCGAGTCTGAGTGCAATGCTTCTGGTTCCCTCCGCAGGCATGATGGGCGAGGGCGGCGACCTGAACCAGTACCGCACCGAGTACCGCGACAGCTACAGCAAGCTGGGGGGCATCATCCTGGCCGAGAACATCCACTGCAACTCGCGGGCCCGGCGACCCGGGACGTGACCTCCAGCGACTCCCTTTCCCCCCACCCCACCCGTCTGGCCAATAAAGATGTGATTACTCAGTGTCGTGACTGCATTGTGAGTGGGGATGTTCGGAATGAGCTACACATTTTTCCGGTTTCATTCAGTTCGTGTATTTTGCCGAAACTTGGGATGAGGTCATGAGTAGGGGTCTGGCCGCAGGTGTATCCACGTTGGAGTTGGGGGCGCCCTTCCCTGCGGGGCACACCACAGTGGTCAGGGCACACGGCACGGGCACTGATTGCAAAGAGTCCTTTCGTCGCTGTCTCTCTCTCACCCCGTCGGGCCACCCCATGAGTACGAGAGAGAGAGAGGGGGGGCGCACCTGTCTGCAGGGCGGCGTGCTGTAGTCGGGCTCGGGGTAGTGGACGGGCGGCGCCTCCAGCCTGGAGCCGCCCTTGGCCTGCACGTGGCGCTGCAGCCGCTCGAAGGCGGACCGGGAGTGCGCGTCCATGTAGAAGGAGCGGCCCGCGCGGAAGCGCCGCACCGGGCAGAAGCCGAACACTGCGACAGGGAAAGGGCGCTCCGTCTCTCTCGCACTCCAGGGGCGTGTGGTATGCCCGAAGGGGTGCGAGAGAGAAACGACTCTCACCCACGGGCGTCGTGTCGGGGGGCGGCAGCAGCTTGCGGACGGCCGGGTTCAGCGCGCGCTCCAGCGAGTCCATGAGGGCGTCCTCCTCGAAGAGCCCCGCGGAGGCCTCGCCCTCGGCCCTGGGGGACGCTGGCGACGAAGCGGGGAAGCAAAACATTGAAACCGAAGTAAAACCCGGGTCGCTCTGTCTCTATCGCACCTATCCGGGTAGCGCCAAGAGCGCGAGAGAAAGAGACAGCGGCGAAAGCGCTCCAACTCGGAATACTCACACGCCCCGCAGTAGTCCACCTTGTAGACGGACTGCCTCCAGAGCTGCTGCAGCTGCTGGATCGTGTCCTCTGCGTACTTGCCGGGCTGGAGGTGCAGGCGCAGCACGTTAGTCAGGTTGCAGACTGATGCCGAGAGTCGTTTTCGTCGCTCTGGCTCTCTCGCACTCACGAGGCGTCCCGTTTAGCTGCGAGAGAGACAGAGCGACGGCGAGCCTCAAGCGCCTGCAGTCCGCGGGCTAGGCAGTCCCGCCGCGCGCGGCCGTCTTGCGGCACGGCCTGCTTGCAGGCGCTCCGCCGACGCCGTGTACCTTGAGTTCTTCCGGTGAGAGGAACTTGTCGTACTTCTCGGGGTCCTCGGCGATGTTGATGCCCCTCGCCCTGCCAAAACGAAAAGGGTGCGGGTGGTATTCGGTCGCTGGTCGGCCACCACTCCGTTACTCCATCTCACTCGCACTCACGGAGAGGGCCGCGCCACGTCCTCCCACCACTTGTAGTCCTTGGTGTACACGGAGCAGAACGCGTCGCGGTGAGACATGGCGCCGTCTCGTGTTGCGTCCCTGTCAGTCTGTCAGGGGGCAGTGGCGGGGCAAATGTGGGGGCGGGGTATCGAGGGGAAGTTTTCACGACAAATTTTGTAAAGCTGAAATATCAAAACGTTTTTCTTTTTTTTTCTTTGAAATCGGAAATAATTTTGTACTTGTAAAATTTTGGCCAGGGATTGTTGCTCTAGCAACAATAGCACCCACGTGCGTGGAGCGTTTGAGGTGGTCAGGGCAGGGGCGGTTTCAATCATTTGAATCGGCCGCTACAGCGATGCTGCAGCAAATAAACAGTTTCTGTTTTGCGTTTCGGACATCGTTTGGATGCAAAAGCTTTTGAAATAAATTGTCAGTATGAATGCACCAGAAGTATGGTGTAATTTTGAACTTATTCTCTTGCTTTCAAATGGATTGTCATTGCCATACGTGGCCAAATTTTACGTCCGACAGTTGGTATGACAGTCACTTGTTTGTTTTCTGCTCCTGTTAACTTCAAACGTGTCAAGTTATGTCTATGTCAATAGAGATGGAAAATGCAACTTCAGGACCGATTTTATCAGTCTCTCACAGTGCCAGACGTTGAGGCCATATTTAAAAATCTTCTCTCGACAACTTCCGTTCTGTGAAAACTTCCTAAACATGCCTCCTAACATTTTGTCTAGTAGTTTGCAAAATGCATCCTTCAACATTATTTTTCAGGTGAGGATTTAAATGTATTTTCACATCATTTAAAGAGACGGCAATTTATTTTTCGATGTTTGGTCATCCTTAAATATCAATGACAATGAATGGATTTGGAATAATCTGACATCGTTTATGTTGTGGCTGAGGTTATGTAGCTTTTTATGGTGAAATGAGTAGAAATGCCTTTTTCATTCAGTTAAAATAATTGTTCGCCAATACCAAGCAACAGATCCTCCACAGATTTGTTTAAATTTTCGTTTTACAGTAGTTTTATTTGTTGTCATATTTTGTACAGTGCAATATTACAGCTTAAAAGTTCCTGTTTATTTCAGATTGGATGCCGTATTCTCACCTTCTTGCTAAATGCTTTTGTCTTACGTCATGTAAGCCAAGCTGCTGTAGGGGTTATGAATGTGCGTCTCCTCTTGTTGGAGTCCACTCTGATCTTTTTAAGCAGGGAAGCTTTTCGCCGGGCATGTCTAAGTAAAACCAGTGAACACAATTGGCCCAAGGTTGTCAACTTAGTGTGGTTTACGTAAGTAGATTTTTCTTATTTTCATTCAAATGTTTTCCTGTTTTCTTCATTGTACAATGTAATACGTAACATAATGTTATTTTGGTGCTTTAGCGTTCCACTGTGCCAAGTATTCTGCCTCATCTTTGGTTACATCTGGCTAAATGTACTGTCAGTGCCAAGTACTAGCATTACAGAACATTATACTATCGGTGTTTGGTCTATTGCAATTAGCTGTATCATCGAAATGTGTTGTGAACCTGTCTATATTATGGCAGAAGCATTTTTATTTGTTCGGCTTAAGGTAAGTTTTGTTGCATTCTAATTAGGTACATCAGCGTTACTGAAATAATCTGAAATCTAAATCTTAATGTCCTTCTTGTAGGTTGTGATGCAAACCATGTTGGTATTAGTGCGCACAGTTGCTTTCACGTCAATAGTTCTTCATCAGCAAGATGCTGCGGTTCTTGCATTTTCTGTAGCTCAAGTTTTGTCCATAGCAGCCTACACTGTGGGCTACTATGTTTATTTTTACTTTTACATGAAGAACAGGCTCTTGGAGAGGAGTGAATTGAACAATCAAACATCAAAAGGCCGGTCTTCTCAGAGAAAAGACTCCATCATTGGAACAGTCTATGATTTCCCATTCAATTCTCTGATGGAATTCCTACCATCCAAATGTGATGATGAGGTAAGCAAAATGTGCTAAAAAAGTGAATGGCTGGTCTTAGTTCCCATTTAGTTACAGCTATATGTATACACTAGTATTAAAATAAAATTTCTCACTTTGCTTTGCAGCCCTCAATTGATTACAAAATGACAAAATTGACATGGAGTTTCTTCAAGCAAGGCATGCTTAAACAAATATTAACAGAAGGAGAGCGCTATGTGATGACACTCTTCTCTGTTTTATCCTTTGAAGAACAAGGTGTATATGATGTAGTGAACAATTTGGGCTCCATGGCAGCTAGATTTCTATTCAGACCGATAGAAGATAGTGCATATTTTTACTTCTCCCAAATGATTCGCAGAGATCTACCTATTCCTAAACAAGACCAAGTAAGAAACTGGCTGATGCATCTTTCCATCAATGTTAAAAATATTCTAAAATATAGTATCTTGTCTTTTCAGAAACATGTTGCAGAGTGTGTCTTAGTTTTACAACGGCTACTTCGGTGCTTGCTTGCTCTTGGATTGGTCATTTTAGTGTTTGGCCAGGCGTACTCTCGTCTCCTTTTACTCTTGTATGGAGGTTCAGGCCTCATATCTGGAACTGGGCCACTTCTCCTGAAAACACATTGTCTATCTGTTTTTCTCCTTGCATTGAATGGTATTACTGAGTGTTATGCACTTGCCACTATGGATACAAAGCAACTTGACAGGTATGTGATACAATTGAGCATTGATCAACATGTAATTTGGTCTTCTCTCCACTTCTCTCTAAATGATTTCATAAACTCTGATTCAATTTCAGGTACAATTATGTCATGGTGTGGCTTTCCATTGGGTTCTTGTGCATTTCTTGGGCTTTCACCAAGCTATTAGGTGGAGTTGGATTCATTCTTGCTAACTGCTGCAATATGGCTGCACGTATAAACCACAGGTGATACAGGTCTCCCTCATGTTTAGATAATCAATCTGGCAAAAGATGCTTACAATAATTTTGTGTTTCCAGTGTTCAATACATTTCGGACCAGTACAAAAACACAGCATTTAATCCCCTTCATGGTGTTATGCCTCATCGCATGTATTGCACAACATTAATAATTTCAGGCATCGTAACACAACTCTCTGAAGTAAGTTTGAATATAATTGTGATTTACAATTTTCTTGCATTGGGAAAACCCTTAACCTGATACAATTTATTTCACTTTTTCAAAAACAGGTATTTGTTTCTCCTTACTCACTTTTTGGACACTTCATCATTGGCGCTGTGTGTTTCTTACTTACAACGATTGCCTGGGCATTTGGTGAAAGGGAGCTTGTCCAATTAGGGTTAGAGAAATGGAAGCAAAGAACAACGAAATCAGATTAAATTTGACAGGGTAAATTACCCGGGTGTCAGATTTTCAAACCGCATCTGACATACCATGTATTGACCAGCTGGGGTTATGCTATGCACACTTTTGAGTTTCTTGAGATTTTGAAATAAAATTCAGGCTATGCTTTTGTTTTAAGAGGTAGGATTTTACTAGTTCCAGTGATAACGCAAATGTTTAGGCACAAAGACGCTACCGGTTATTCTTTTGACGCAACATCGTTTTATATTCTTATTTCTGTTTCAATTTGACTGTGAATAGTTTTAAGTGTATGTATTTTGATTAGAGTAAACTTCTTGCTTGACTTCTAGTCATTCACCCGCGGATTCAGGGGGTTCGGGTGGAGTGGGGTGGGACAACGTGGGTCACCCCGCAGGTCACTTCTGTACTGTATCAGCTACTGTAGTCATAAATGATTCGATCGCAGAATTAAGTTTTAGAATAATGTTGGATATTCCATCATGGGTTTTATTTTAAGTTTTGCATAAGCTTGATATGAGCACAAGATTGTGATTTCAGAGTAGCATTAATAGTAGATTAGTAATCTCTGTGGTTGCCTTTTTTGATACAGCTACAGTGTTTTATTCTGTGATTTGATCTTCCCTTTTTTAACAACAATAAAATGATAGAAAACCATGATACTTGTTCTCTTTCTTTCCTCAGTGGAGTTGACATGAGGGATTCCCAGACCCAGGAAAAAGTGTTTGGAACTATGATGTAAATGTAGATAATGAAAAAGTAAAAATCAGATGCAGTTTTGCACACAGGTTCTTTATTTTTAATTATACAATATAGAGTTTACCACAATTCAAAGAGCTGTACATTGACTTTTTTTCTTGTGCACATTCAAAGCACCAAAGTTTTTCTGTCATCTTTCCTTGGAGCTTATCGCATTTTCATATTGTTTTGTGGTTGAAGTTTGTAAGACTTTTTGGACCCTCTAATTTACAAGGAACAGCAATAATTTGCATAAAGAAAGTGCGATTTGGCAATTCAATGCACTAAATTTACATTGAAGATAAATTAATATGGCCATGCTCTAAAAAGAGGTTGATAATATTTCTGTTTATTTTGATTTTTACCGTTAAGTATCAAAAGTATGCGTACAAAAACTACAAAAGCAGATGTAATATTTACAAATTCTCTCAAATACATGAAAGGGTATTATAAGGCTACTTAATGCCTCTGTCCATTCCTTATACATCACATCACATTTTGTCACTTTTATTATTCATTACTCCTCATTTCCATATACATCAGACTTTCATTGTTGGTTTGCAGCTGCCACCATTCTTAAAGGGCTGTTATATTTCTAGCTTAAAAAGGCATCTTAGGTATAGAAGAACTTGTGAAGATTACTACATGCATGACATAAGGGCCCCAAAATGAGTTTAGGTGCAGTCTTACAATATCATACAGTTTCTTTGATATAAGGTCAAGTAATGTGCATTGGCAGTGTAAAAGTTGGCACACTTCTATTATGTTATTCTACAGTAAATGAAAGCCAAAAGATGGGAGTTTAGCAATCAACGAATTGTTTCATGGAGTTGTGGTCAGGGTAACCCCTTCCAAAGGAAACAGGAAATTTTGCTTTGTATATGTAATATCTCACTTAGCCTGTTTTCTCTGTCAATTCATGTTACCTAAAGATTTTTACTAAATTTAAGGTCAAAGGAAAAAAAAATCTGTACAATTATTTTGTGCAATAGCACCACTACATTAGAAGAACTAAAGCAATAATTTAACACATTAGATTGCCATCACAGATATTCTCATGTCTGTTGTTTCACTTGCCATGAATTCTCATCTCACTTATTACTACCCATGAGTATGACACAGGCAAATTTTAGAGGTATCATACTGGTCACCAAGACCCAAATAAGTTTCGGTTTAAAATAATGCACTGTCAAAGTCATGCCCATCTCACATTAATCTTTGAATTGAACAGCCGAAAGAGAAATAAAAATACAACTACAAGAGAGATTCAAATTGCGCTGCCTTGAAATTGCGCTTTTAACCACACAATTTTTTTTTTACAAAAATACATCCGATAGTAACAGCAGCATTCTCTTCTGGACACACTCCGCATTACCACTTTCGCATAAGACCCAAAACGCCTACACTCGAAAGCTAATCGGAAACGAAAATAATAGTCAATTTGGATGTGTGGACTTCCCCGCAGAGAGAGAGAGGCACACAAATAGTCCGCTTGGCGGCTTCGCCCCTCCCCGCCTCAGAGGATGTCGAGGCGGGACGTGGTGGTGGTGGTGCCGGTGGTGCCGCCGGACAAGTGCGTCAGCAAGGTGATGGAGTGCCTGGCGGTGAGCGAGGTGAGGAAGGTGAGCGAGCCGCGTCGGTCCGGCTGGTCGGGCAGCTGCAGGTGGAACAGGTGTCGGCGCGTGCCCCTGCCGTGGCCGCCGGGCCCCGCGCGCGTGCCCACGCCGGCGCAGCGCCAGCACGTCCTGCAGAAGCCCGCGGTGGGCCGCACGCCGCCCGCGCCGCCCGCGCCGGCCACGGCGGCGGCCACCAGCAGCGGCTCCGGCCGGCCCTCCAGCTCCTTGGCCAGCGCGCGCTCCTGCCTCGCGCGGCACGCTGCAGCAAACAGAGGGCACTTCAAGAAAACGCTCCGAGTCCACCCCCGTTTTGGGCCACGTTTCCCTCGTACCTTTGCACACGGTCCGCGAGTGGCGCTCCTTCCTCGGCGCGCAGCAGCACGGCAGCATGGCGCGGATCTCGCGCCGGAAGTGCGAGTTGAGCCAGCCGTACAGCAGTGGGTTGGACAGCGTCGAGCTCATGGCCAGCAGGTGGCAGCACGCGAACATGACGCGGTGCTGGCCCGGGTTCGTCACCAGCAGCTGGAAGGCGGTCAGCGGCAGCCAGCTGCAGGACAGAGACAAGCACACTGTGAGTCTGTTCCGTCGCTCTGTCTCTCTCGCACCTACACGAGACGCCGCATGAGTGCGAGAGAGACAGAGCGAGACCCTGGACGCCGCCTCCTTCGCGTCGGCGAGAAGGGCAGCGACTGCAGCTCGGCCTACCTGAAGGTGAAGACGGCCGCCACGGTGCCCAGGACGAGCGCCGTGCGTCGGCTGCGCCGCCGGCGCCACTGCATGGGCCTGGAGTGCAGGTAGGCGGAGATGCGCGTGTGCACCACGCACAGCGACAGCGCGGGCAGCAGGAAGTGCAGCACGGCGCGCACGCACGCGTACGACAGGCGCCACGCGGGCGCGGGCGCCGGCCACTGCGACACGCAGCGCGGCACGCCGTCCACGTCCACCACGCCCTGCAAGCACAAGAGCAGGCCCGCGTCACGCCCCGCCTCCATGCAAGAAACAGTCTTGAGGCGAGCCGGGCACCCCTTCCGGGCAGATTCCCCTGTCAACGCCCTCGGGCCGGGGGCCGGGGGCCAGTCGGGGTTCAAGGAGGACTGGAGGAGGACGAGCGCGTTGCGGTTTTCCATTTTTGCCGCTCGACGCGGACGACGCGGACAAGGGCGAGGCGAGGGACGCAGCGCCTCAAAGGACCGCTGCGGCATTAATCACAGCTTTTTTGTTTATCACGGAAGCAGCTGGCAAGGGGGGGGGGGGGCGGAGGGGGGGGGGGGCGGCCCGGCCGGCGGCAGCGCGTCAAAGACGCAATTTCCGGACCAGAAACGGCCGCGCCTCAGAAAGGGGAGCGAGCGAGCGTTCCTCCAGCCTATGGCCGGCCGATGGCGTGGGGGATGGCATGGGGAGACTTACGTGGAAGGCCACCAGGGGCGCGGCGAGGGCGCAGGCCGCGGCCCAGATGGCGGCGATCACCCTCGGGACGGCGCGCCGCGAGCTGGTGGCGTCGTGGGCGCGGGTGACGATGGCGCGGTACCGGTCCAGGGCGATGGCCGCCACCGTGCCCGCCGCCGCGCCCGCGCACACGCACTGCAGGCCGGGCAGCGCGCGGCACAGCGCCGCCATGCGCGGCACGTCGGGCACGTCGAGCTGGGGCACGCCGTCGGACGCCACCACGGGCACCGCGGGGGAGGCGGCCCAGCCCTGCAGCAGCCACCACAGCGTGCCCGGCAGCGCCAGCAAGCAGATGAGCACGTCGGCCACCGCCAGGTTGGCGATGTACAGGTGCCGGGGGATCACTGCAACAGAAGCATTGGCTGCGTGAGGAACAAGGGTAGGTCACCCGTCAGGGCAGCGAAAAAGTCCCCGCACTAAACACTGATTATGTGGGCAGCAGAAAAGGGAAAAGATATGAGGACCGAGAGAAACGGAGAAAGAGACAGATCGCGTCCCCACTAAAAGCAAAACCCAGTTCCCCGATGTTCACCACCGTCACGTGAGAACGGCACCGCAACAGCTGCTGCGGGTGATTTAGCGGGGACGACATAAAGCGCACACCTGGGCTCGGCGGGCTGATTCCGAGGGTCGTTTTCGTCGCTCCGCCCCTCTCGCACTCGTGGGGGACCCCTCAAGGTGCGAGAGAGAACGACTCTCGGAACGAGTGTGCAGGGCGCCTGGGCTGGCCGGCCGCCACGAGGCACTCCAACACCAGGCCAACCCCACCGCCGCCACTCGATCAAGGCGAAGGCCGCGAAGGCCAGGCCGCCGGCCGAAGGGCCGAAGGCATGCAGTCCCACATGATGACCGGGACAGGAATAAACGCAACGTTCCGGTTCCAGTGGGCCCCGTTTATTTTTAGAGCCGTCGCCGGCGGCCGCGCCACGCCGTATCCGCTCCACCCGCCCCGCCCCGCCGCGCCAAGACTCGCGTGACACAGCGTCGCGGCGCGATTTATGGCTAATGAAAAGCAAAGAGCGGCGAATAAACGGAATCGTGTCGTCAAACGGCGGCGCGGCGGTGATTAGCGCTCACTTCCGGCCGGACGGCTGGCCGTCGACGGGCACCTGTGGCCTCCCCGTCGGACGGCCGCGCGGGGACGCCTCCGCGGCTCCGCGGCCCGCCACCAAGGCCGCTGCTATTTCCGTCGCGGCCTCGCTGGCCTCGCTGCAGAGGGCCGGAGGGCGAGGTGGACGCTTTGAAGCCGGACAACGCGCACGACAGGTGCCGTCTCGGTGTGCCGTCCCCCAGGACCCCCAGGACTGCCGGGGCGGCCCAGGACGCGGCGCTCCGTCGCAGCCCCGCCAAAACAGAGCCACCCCCACTAATTAGGCGGGGGGGGGAGGCATCCTTGGCATTTCTCCGCGGGTCGTGCACGTGGAGCCCTAAGCGAAAACAAAACAGTCGCTACTACGCCGCCAGGGCACTACTACACTGCGAGGGTGTTGGCGTCGCGGCCGCAAGCAAGGCAGGCCGGCAGGCCGTGTCGGGCGCCAAATCCATAATCCCGCCGGGCCGGGCGGAACAGGGCGGAACGGACGGGCAGAGTGGCAAGGCAGAGCCAGGCAAAGCACGCAGGCAGCGGTGTAAACAACAACAGGCGAATGCGGCGCACAACGCGGACGGACCTACATGTCGCCCGAGCACGCACACGACGCGCGGCACAAGGACTGGGACAAGGACTGCCACTGCGCATCCCGACAAGGCTGGGTACACTGGCTACACAAACACAGCATAGCGTGCCCAACTCTTCGACACCGGTTTTTTTTTCACCGTTTCCCCGAATCGCACCGCTTCCCCGGCTCGAGTTCCCTCCTCCTCCATGGTGATCCATTATGTTGCCTGATGGTGGCGTGCGTGGAGACGGCGGGCTGGTGCCAGGGCCACTTTGTTAGATCAGTGTACAGTGACTTTCCACTTACTCTTCCTTTCAGCGGCACCTTCGCTAAGCCCCTCCCCCTCCCCTCGCCGCCAAAGACACCTTATCGCACTTTCACACCTAGCCGCCCCTCCGCCCCACCCCCGGCCTAAACCGCGCCCTGACGGGAGCGCCCCTGACCTCCAATCCAAGACAGCGCCCGTGTTGAGCCTGGAGGGATGGGGCGGGGCGGGGCGGCCGAGGACGCGCGCCGAATGCACACACCGCGGCTGCCCGCCACGGCGCTGACGGCGCGGCCGAGGCGCGACGACGCCAGGCGACGCCCACATAATCGCCGACTGAATACACACGGTGACGTCACGTCCCCGATGACACATGACCTACTTTCGGCATCCGTCCGCGCGTCCGTCCGTGAGTGTGTCGTATTCTTCCATCGACGCGACTGCCGCGCCATCTGGCGGGACGCGGCGATGTGGGCGACGAGCGCCGGGGCGGGCGGCAACAAGACGAGGCGCTGCATGGCGTGCTGCAGGGTGCGTGCGCCACGGCCAAGGCCGCCAAGGTCGAAGGGGGCCGAGACGAGGGACGCCAGGATCGAGGCTGGGCGCTCCCGACGCTACCGCACCGTGTTCGCCAGGGGGCCGCCGTCGGTGCCGCCGTTGGTGCCGCCACCGGGCCACGGTCACGGCCACCACGGCCACGGCCAGCGCCTCGCGAGTCGCGCAAGAAGAAGTCGTTACGGCGACATTCATCACGCCCTTCATCGCGAGATGGCGTCGCTGTTGTGCTGCTCTGTCGCTTTTTCCGCGTCCTGAACCTCCACCACGACGGCGGCCTCCACGACGGCGGCCATGACCGTGGCCGCCAAGCAGCGCCCGAGCAGCGCGGCGAGCGCGGCGCTAAGTCCACACGACGATGCAATGAAAAGACCCGGCCGGCCCGGGATTCTCACCCACACACAGTGTAACACACCAACACTTGCACACTTCGATGCGTTATGACCGAACCTCATACACTTGGACAATGGCGGTGCTGGAGATGGCGGCGTCGTGGTGGTGAGGCGCTGGTGTGGCGATGGGTGCAGCCTTGACCCACCTCTGTGTGTGCACTGCCCAAACTGGCCCCCTCCCCCGCGGGGCCCGGCCCACCACTGCTGGGCTTCCACTATCAATCGCCCTCACCATCCGGGCCGCTTCCGCTGCCCCGCCCCGCCCCGCCTTTCCAATCCAACTTGCAAAGCCTCCCGCTGGGCCGGGCCCTCTGCCGGGCTGGACACTGGCAAACCGCTGCACCTGTGGAAGCGCGCCGTCCTGCTCGCTCCCTTTGTTCCAGCGAGGCGTAATGAATGCGAGGGGGCGAGAGTGAGAAAGAAACTCGAGTTGGCGAGAGCAGCCAGGCGTGTATACACAGACGTCTCTGCCTGCGAACGCTGCGAACCCTTCGCGGAAGCCAAACTCTCTTTCCGCGCTGCACGGGGGCAGAAGGTGGAAAAGGTGTGAAGCGGGGGTGGGCAGCCGACGGCGAGCCAACCTCACCGCCCCCGACGCCTCCACCGCTCCAACACCTGCACGGACTCCATGGCCCGCGAGGCATCCCGAGAGGAACTAGGCGACACAAAAAAAGGCCGGGACGGGCGGGATCCGAGCCCCGGGGGCGCTCCCAAAGGCGCAGTGTGTGCGTCAACAACAACAACAACAAAACTCCGTGAGTGCTGTCTTGTTGTTGTTTGTTGCGAAACCGCGTTGCAACAAACGCGCGGCGCCGAAGCGGGGCTGGAGTGAGCAGTGCGGTCAAAGGCAAGGGGGTGGGGAGGCCAGGCTGCGCAGGGCCGCGCCACCCGGCAAAAAGGGATACACGGACAGGGGATTAAAGGGGGCTGCATATTCCAAGAGGAGGGGGAGGGGGGACAAACCAGGCGTAAGACGGGCTGAGCCCCCTCCCGCGAGTCGCTCTAGAGACAATCCCCTCTGACGGCCGTGCCGGGCCGCGCCGCGCAGGCCAGGTGTGCCCCACCGCACCCCGAGCAAGGCTCGGCAAGCCTCGGCAGGGCTCGCCATTAAACACTGGAATTATACAGCGACAAAGGTAAACGGAGGGCGGAGCGAGAGCGAGAACCCGACACGGCAATACACGCCGAAAACGCGAAACGACGCGTTGCGAAACGACAAAGTCGCGCGGGTCGAGCGGTGTCCTCCCTGCGTGGCCCCCCGTTCCCGAGGGGAGAAGCCGCCGTAATGAAATAAACGATACGAAAATTCCAGCCCAGGAGGGCAGCGACAGGCGACGAAACAATCGGCGAAGCATTCTCGCGCGAGTGGCGGTGATCGCGTGTGGTCGCCGCATTCCCCACGGGGACCCCGTGCGACCCCGCGGCACCCGCCGTCGCTGCCCACGCTGTCCATGCGCGACACCCTCCCGTCTCCAAAATCCGATACGCGTGGAATCCGCACCGCGTCACTTGAAAAACATAAACCAATGCCCGGGGAGCGGCCTCGCCCTGTCCCTGTCGCCGGGGCGGGAGAGGGTCTTAGACACACGCCGCGCGCAATCCAGTGCCGCCGTGCCGCCCCCTCCGGCCACTCACTCCGACGAGCCTCGTCTGCTTCTGCCCACATTTATGCCGCACTTCGCCACCTGCTGCTCCATCCAAGTCGCCAACTTCCTAGCTCGATTGATCATCGCGCGAAACTTTACCAGCTAGGTTTGTAGTCGCAGTGTGTGTGTAGGTGTGTGTGTAGGTGTGTGTGTGTGTGCGTGCGCGTATGACAGTTCCAGGCATCAGTCTCGAGGAGGGCGTACTGCCACGACACTGTAGACTGACTCCGAGAGTCGTTTTCGTCGCTCTGACTCTCTCGCACCTACACTGGACGAGTGCGAGGGAGACAGAGCGACGAAAACGACTCTCGGAATCAGTCTGCTGCGGAGGGGCTGCCTTGTCTGTGTCGCCCGCCGATTCCCATTCCCTCCATCCAGACACCACGCTGCCTTTGTGACCCAATCCCATTGTGTCCTGGGCATCTCGCGTCCAAGTGTGAGTGTGTGAGTGTGTCGAGAAGTAGGCTGCTACGCTTCTTCATTTTCGCCGAAGCATCACGCCATGCATTATGCATGGCTTGCATTGTCCTACGGGCCGCCTCGCCGCGCTGCGCGTGAGGGAGGGGCGGGGGTGCGGTTCAAGGCCGCTGTACTGTGCCGTCGTCGTCGTCTTCGTCGATGATGGTGCTCCTCTTGGCGTGGCGCAGGAGCGCAGCGGCGCGCCGCCACATGAGAGCGTCGCGTCTGAGCCGCGCCACGGGGCTGCTACACCGCCCTGCCGCCGCCGTGCCGCCGCCGAGAGTGTTCGCGTGAACGTGATCGCGGCGGTGAAGTGAGTGGGTACCCTGAGTCCCGGAGTGCGAGGTGCGCGGGGCGCGGGCGGCGGGG